AAGTTGAAAAATATTATATCGATCTCCCCTTATTACGTGTCCAAAATAGGTCATCTTTCTACATATCAAGCAGCTCGCGAGCAGCATTTGCTCTTTCAAGGACTGCCACATTTGTCAGCATAGCCGTCCATGGAATTTTTAGTATACGTCTGTGCAGCCACATTTCTAAGGCCTCCAGACGATTATTGGTGGATATTTTTATTGTCCATGCTTCGACACCGTATAAAAGGACTAACCAAATGTAGCATTTAACCATGCGCTTTCGAAGTTGAAGTTGCAAGTTATCATTACAGAAGAATGACCTTGTATTTAAAAATGTCGTGCTGGCTATCTCGATTCTACATTTTATCTCTTGATCTGGATCTAATTGTTCAGTAATACGGCAACCAAGATAACTAAACTGGACACTCTTTGATTTATATGACCATCAACATATAATCGTGCATCTTGATGTGCTAAACGGCTAAACACCATGTGTTTTGTGTTTGAACAGTTTATGTTTAGGCCAAACTCTCTTCCCACTTTATTAATGGCATTTAAAAGCATTGTAATCCATTTATCTCATCACTTAAAATAACTGTATCGTCTGCAAATCTGATTGTATTTATCAGAATTCCATTAACTTTTACGCCCCATTCCAAATTATGCAGCGCTTCTTTAAATATTCTATCTGAATATAAATTAAATATCAGTGGGGATAGTTTACAACCCTGTCTGACACCTCTTTGTATTTAACATATTTCTGTTGATTTTCCGTTTATACAAGCTGTCGCTGTTTGACGCCAGTATAACTTTTCTATGAATCGTATGTCTTGACTATCAACTCCTTTATCTTTTAATATTGTAATTAATTTGTGATGCTGTACTCGATCAAAGGCCTTTTCATAGTCAATAAATACAGCAAAGACGTCTTTCCTTTGATCTCGACATTTCTGCAGTAATACATTTAATGCAAAGAGGGCGTCCTGATTTCCCAGTCAATTTGTGAAGCCAAATTGTGTTTCATCCTGGTCTTCTTCACATTTATCTCTGATTTTACTGTGGATGATGCGTAGAAATATTTTCAAAGTGTGGCTCATAAGGCTTATCATTCTATAATCGCTGCAGTTTTTCGAACGTTGTTTTTTTGGTAGTGTTATGAATTCGGACTTTAACCAATCTTCAGGGATATCACCAGTCGAATAAACATCATTGAAAAGTTTGACCAGTATTCCAATGTTCTCCTCATTTATAAGCTTTAACATCTCTGTCGGTATGTTATCAGGGCCAACGGCTTTCTTGTTCTTTGCTAACTTTATAGCATGAGTATTTCTGGTCCTTCAACTTCAACTAAAGTCTCCAGTTCTTCGGGTCTATCATCATTATACAGTTCACTTATATAATTACACCAGGTTGTTCGAATTTCATGTTCGTCTATTATCATTTTTCCCGAGGAATCGGTTATAGTATGCGGAGTTTTCTTATGATAAAGACCAGCTTCTTCTCTAACTTTTTTAAACATATTAAACGTATCATGTTTTTCATTCAACTTTTCTAATTCCTTGCATTTATCCTCCATCCATTTTTTCTTTAGCCACGTTTATTTTTTATTTAATTAGTTTCTGTTTTTCCTTATATTCTATCTTGTTACCTTTCAGTTTCCTTCTCTGTTCCATTAATTCCAGGATTTCATCAGTCATCCATTGTTGTTTTTGGTGCCTGTGTAACGTTGTCGAATATTTTTCTATTACTTTCAAGGTACTACTACTACTAAGGATTTCCACAGTTTTCACTGTCTTCCTTCACTCAACCGCCTTCTCCAATTTTCCCTGTCATTGCACTTTTAAGTCCTCAAATATACCTAAATCACTTTAATTTGATTCACTATCATACTTAGCAACTCTCTTTGGTACATTTTGTATATCTTCTGTCTCTATTTGCTTTGTAACTGCCTGCACTTTCTCAAATGATACCTTCTCTCGAGTCTTTCTCTTTTTGAGCGCAGCTATTTCATCTTTCTCTGGGGTATTGGTAAGTATTCGTGACTTTTCTCTAGCTCTTCGTAACTTCTTTTTGCGAACAGGTGCCTTTGGATAGTGGATAGAGTCGCAACATTTTAGGTGTAATAGAACTTTCTGAAGTTCCTGCTTGACGAATATTTGAGGTAGAAGGAGTAGAGACTTCAATTTCATTAACTGTAGTTTTAGTTTGTTCCCCATCCTCTTCAACATTGACTTGCTCGCGACTGTCAGTAAGCTGGTCAAAAGCAAGATCAGTTACATACGAAGACAGAAACTCATTATCTTCAAAAATATTTTTATTGACTTGATAGAGACCACTAACCCCAAATCCCTTCTGGATATTCTTCTTCTTAAGGTGCCTTCTCCATTACTGAAGGTTGGCTATAACTACAGCAAATTACTCTTTATCTTGAGCTGTTCTTAGTATCGAATGTGTGTCCATACCTGTCCATTTTTTTACATTTTTCAACCAGGAGCATTTTCTTCTTTCTGAACTTCTACTTCCTTCCACTTTCCCTTTCATTATAAATCGTATTAAGTTGTATTTTTCTCCTCTGTAAATATGTCCTAGATAACTCGTTTTTCTGTTTTTTACAATATTTAGGAGTTCTCTCTCAGTACCCATTCTTCTTATCACCTCGTTGTTGATCACGTGCTCTGTCCAAGAGAGCCCTTCAGCATCCTTCGAAAAACTCACATCTCAAAAGCTTCTGGATATTAGATGTAGTAAATGCTTGGAGGGCCTTACCTGCAACTTTAGCTATACAGTAAATCGTAGTACGTTGTCCAGGGTGCAGAATCTTCCACTCGCTACAGGCGGTATTATTGTAGGTTTTTATCGCTCCAAAAACTGTTCGATCGAGAGGTTGCATTTTCTGACTGGGGTGGGATGAAATGTTATCGGTAAAATGCCATTTAAAAAAAAAAATAATGACACTAACATTTACGTGGCTCTCATAATTATCCAAAAGTAATATAACTGGTACTTTCACATGATTTTGAAAGTGTTATGGGCATTTCAAAAACAATATTTCGTTTCACCAGCCGGACAGATTTGCACCTCCTATAGTTCCAAGCGGACAACTTTTAGCATATGAAGCTTAAAATTAACCCTCGGAAATATCATCATTGGCGGAATATGATTTCCGATTGCATTTACTGAGGCTATCAAGGTTACATTTTGATCTCGCTTTCTACTTGTCGTTTGACCTAATTGTTTTATTCTCTTAGGTCCTACAATTTTTGGTGTTACATGGACAGTCGTTAATCCTATCTCGTCACAATTCTAAATTTTTTCTGGAGTAAAATCTTCACGAGACAAGGCTTCTTTGTAGTTCTTAAAAAGGGATGATATATTTATTTTATTTAAAGATGTTGATCTGGCCAAACTTGTAGGTTCTGATTTACGAAGTGATAAATCTCCATGTCCTCTAAGAAACTGCCTCAGCCATTCCTTGTCAGCTATCTTTTTTTGGTTCCAAGCCGTTGGATGAGACTTGCTATTTGCAATTGCATACTGGTATGCTAAAGTACGAACTTCCATTTTCATCAAACCATAGTGAAGGCGTGCAGCAGTGAGAAGATATATTTTTAACTCAGCTTCCTCTTCTCCATTAAAAACTTCTTTTATATTATTGACAGCAACATAAGAAAATTCTGAAGCCACCGACTGCCTGAAGAATATTGCGTGTCTGATAAGCGTGGTTTTTGATATGCTATAGCACGTTGCTGCTTCTCTAATTAATAATTCTCCACTTATACATTTATTTGCGGCTGCAATTGAATCCTGGAAATTTAAATGTGATCTTTTGATACCCACTTTACTTCGCGGCATTTAAATAGGGCTATCTGAAGCAATAATAAAAAGTCTTTTTGGTAACAGACACTTTAGTTGTGTTTGTCATGACAGCTGTACTAGAGATGTCATCAGGGGCCTTTAATGCAGTGGTTTCTCGTTGCCTTCCGCATTCTGATGCATTTGACCACTTTCTTGGTTCTTTCGCCTTCGAGACCAATTTCTTAACCTCAGGACAACAGAGTGCCCTTCCATTTACTAGCTTATCCATCCTAAGCCGTTGGCCATTGCTTATCGCGGCAAGCACTTGGAGGTTAGAGCCTCGGTTATCTACCAGGATGCACCAGATGACCATGATCTAGACCATCATACGAGCAGATAAGGTAAACATTTGAATATATGAGGCTGTATATTGCGCATCACTATCCCATTACATCCCAATTGTATGGTTAGTAACCATGTAACCATGCTACAAAAATATAACAAAGAGAGTTGGTGTAAATAATGGAATATATATTCTGAAACAGATTAGATTTATGTAGGTCAACAGATAGACAGATGATTGTAGGTCAACAGATACAGTTTTCATTATAAGCAGATATTGAGGAAATAAATTAAAAAAATGAAAAGTATTTTATTGCAATACTGCATCCAATAATTTTTTGCTTTATGTCTTAACCAACATTTAGTGTTAGCAGTTACGTTTTTAACAAGTATAAAAAATAATGGTTAATTGTAACTAAACTCATGTGCTTCTGAAATGTTTTTTAATTTCTCAGTTTGGTAAGGGGCGATTTTCTAAGGATAACAATTTATTTTTGGCAAGAACAAATAAATCACCCAGTATATTAGGAACATGTTGGAACGGCAAAGAAATTGTATCTGTACCTTTTAGATCGCTAAATATATTTTCTAAAAATAAATTTTCACAAATTTCATATTTGCGAAAAACGAATCTAAATTTTACAAAGGGTTAGTTACAGTCGAGAGACACATATGTGTGGATATTTGTAATATTTTATAAATATTCGAAACTACATCAAATATAATTATTTTTCTTGTTATTGTTTGAACAATGTACTTTTTATAATTCATCATTTGATCTACTATTTAAATAAACATACGCTTAATTTATTCTGTGAACTAGAAACGTTTATCTTAATAAATAATTAACATACTATCCTAATTAGCTTTCTTTGTTTCAGATAAAATTCTTCGGAAATGCGGTGATTATCACCGAACACCTTAACCGCTGAGCACAAATGTTTATTTTCAGCATTATAGTGGTAACCATGGTAAGATATAGGTGTATTTTTTCTTGGCTAATTTTAGGTACTTGTTTCCATTTTGTGTATAGTGCTTCCAGAGCAGGTAAATACAATTCATTTTTTTGAGTATCACATTCCGTGTATAACATTTTCTTTGTGCAGAAGCTAATTTGCTTTATTATCTTTTATCTGTTTTTAAATGCTAGACACCATGTTAACTATACGGATTTTGTCGATAGAGTGTTTCTGGTAAATAATTCTCTTAGGTGTTTATGCTAGGATATTCTTGTTCTTTTTAGGTTGTGTTCTTTTGTATTACCAAAATTTATTTAAATGTATTTTTTTGAATACAAAAACATAGAACATATGAAATTAAAATTATTAAATTAAAGTCGAAGGTATCAGCCTTGAACCAAATCTCTTGCCTTAGAAGTGAGTTAGTGGATTTCTTGTAGGCTGTCTGCTGATTTGGAAGCTGGGTATTCTCAGACGACGATGTTGATTATTTGTTTAGCTGCACTGTATTTGTCACATGCCGGACTGACAATAATTTCCGATTGTGTCAGAGATTTGTTACAAATGAGAAAACTAACTAAATTTAGGTTGAACCGTTCACGAAGAGAGAAAGGAAAGCCTCTGATTTGTTTGTGGAGTTCTCCATCAGAATAAAATTTACGATGATTGGATCTCATTTGCCAACTCAGTACTCGACAGTAGTAAAATCAGCCAATTTTGTAGCATTTTTAGAAGGCGGATATCTGAATATTAGTCTAAGTCTTGTATCCAGTTCGAAGTTGTCTCTATTTATCAGCAGTACTGGGTTTGTTGACATTTTCAGTTTGTTGGCAAGTTTTAAGTGTTGATAGTAGTCTTAAACAAAAGCAGCAAAAATAAAATAAACGCCACAGAAATGGACTACAAAAGAAGAAGCTTCAGTGTTTCCAGAATAGACAAAATAACTAACGATGAAAATAAAAAAAAGAATGGAGATAAAGAAAGACACCTTAACTTACATTGAAGAAAAAAGATTAACGTGGTACGGACATAGGAGCCCCATAGGAAAACGAAAAAGAGTCAGACCAAGAAGATCTTTCAGAAATGAGGTAGATGAAGCCATGGAAAGAAGAGGACTGGAAGACGGGAATGTCTTGTTGTAGATGAAGCGATGTTGCTTAAATCTGGAAGCCATTGGGTTAGTATGGACTTCATAGCCCACATTATGTACTTTATTTTTTGGATTAACTGGATATCTATGACTTTGTTCAGCCAGACAAAGGCGCAAAATTTTGCAGTAGAATATATTAAGGACAGATTGCTTATTTTAATTACCTTTTTATTACATCTTTATGATGTATTTGCTAGCTTATGAATAAAGTTAATATGGGTCTTTATTTTAGCTCTAGTGTTTTCTAAATGCTCTTTGAAGGCTTTCACAGTACGATTTACTGTTACGCCGAGTTATTTTGGATTCAGATTGTACTTTAGAATATTTCTTAGCATTCTATGTTTAGTTTGTAATTTGCCTTGTGGTTATTAAGATGGAAAGCCGCGACTTCCTTCCTCGACTTGTTTGGTTGCAAACCCCATTTCTTAGAGTAACAAGTGCTAGCAGTGTTTAGATTAGCTTTTATGGTGGTTTCATCGTTTTTATGTCTTTTTCTTGGGTTTTGAGGACCATGCCTTTGATATAAGTAAATTTGCACGATTTCAGTCAGTACATGTGATGTATAATTAACAAGAAAGATGTACAAAACTGACCATTGTGATAGGCCGTTTAGCAGATTCCTGAATTTACTAATTTTCCCATTCACATATATTTGAAAAATTCTGTCATTTACCATTTCGTTTATCAGATTGTTGAATGAACGGCATGGTAGCATCTCGTATATTTTAAATAAAAGCTTCTCTTTACATACTGTGTCGTAGGCGTAGGTCAGTTCTATGAAAACTACTGCTGTTTAAAGTTTTTTGAAATCTATTCTCAATAAATGTTGTAAGGGAGAGGACTTAATTGCCACAGCATCTTTCTGGTATGAATCCTTAAGAAATACTTGGCTTTGCAATGTGAAATAATCTTGTCTAAATTATACCCTCAAATATCTTGAAGCAGACGCTTTAAAGAGTGATTAGTCTATAGATTTAAGGTAGTGAAGGGTCTTTCCCAGATTTAAATATTACAATGACCCAGTTCCCTTAATCCAAATACCTCTAAGCTGCTTAACTTGATTACAACTATATTTATGACATTTTTTTACAATTAGCTACTTATTTATGTTTATTTTAGGATGTACCTTTAACGTCTTAAACAATGCGAACGAAAAATATTTGCCTGTAATGTTAACTAACCACTCATCAAAATATGAATTAATTGTTCCTGAACATGGTCAAATTCATTTGAAATCTGGCGAAGGTATAACATTTGTGTGCCCGGACAAGAATTATTTAGTTCTCAGTAAGTACATCAGTTAATATTACTATTTTAGTTAATAATCTATATACAAAAAATGCTAAAAAATTGTCTAAAAATAAATTTCTTTTATGTATCCAACATTAAATTTTATTTTTTAGCTAATTCTAATTTTACTTATGCCACCTGTATCCAAGGAACCAATTTAAAGATTTTTCGAAGTACATATAATTTTGACAGTTTTCTATGTAGTAAGTCTATAAGAGGTTCAGTTCAAAAAACCAAAGAAAGATGTGGGAACCGAAATGGGGAGATAATAAACATAGGGTATAAAGTAACAAAGCGATACTTTAAACCGTTAATTTCAGTTTGCTATGACGAGAAAAATGGAAAAACCTTATACAGCCAACATGTTATTCATGGAGAAGAAGTCGCATGTAAGTAAATAGAATAAAAAGTTCGTTTAAAACATATTAATAAATGTTGACACACCACTGCAAGTTTTAAAAGACTGTACGAAGAACACTAAAACAGATTGTTGTTGTTTTACTTATATTTCTGTTTTATTCTTCTATTCTTTTTTTCGTGTTATTTTCTACGCTTTTTTATTTTCTCGATGTTATTTTATTATATTATGCTTTTCATCTTAATATAATAAGCTAATGTATTTATTGTTGTAGTATTATTTTCACAAATATTTGCAGGACTATTATAGCACTACGTTTTTTTTTATTTTTCCCTTCAGATACTTCGAAGTTCAAAGAACGGCCAGGATTTTCTACAGATGGTCTAGCCAAAGACGTATCAGCAAATCTAGCATACAAACGAGCTTACCAAAAATCCACGTTTAGTAGTTTATTAGGAAGCTCACGAGAGGCAGAACAATATATTAACACTAAATCATATTTATCACGTGGACATCTTTCTCCCGATGCAGATTTTCTTTTTGCAAGTTCTCAACTGACGAGTTATTTTTATATAAATACCTGTCCGCAATGGTAAGTATTGTATTATTTTAAAAATAAATTTTAGAAATAATTTGCTGCTATTATAAATGAGAAGTAATAAGAGAAATACGGTCAATTATATTTTTAAATTTGTATTTTAACACCTTTTATTTCAGAAACTAGTCACATTTTACTGAAATATTTTCATTGAAACCATGAATGTGTTGCTTGTGTGAGTCTATTTCAAATAGGTAAAAGAAATAATAAATTCGACTTACTCACAATCAGTTTAATTTAACTATCTAGACGACCGGTTCGCTTTCTACAATATGCAAAACATCTTCAGATCTGTCGACACAAAGTTAATTAAATGCTGAAATAATAAAACCCATATTAGGGTGTTGTCTTATAAAGATAAACAAAAGATAAATGATATAAATTACAGTAATTATGCCAATATTACATGTCGGTGGTTTTTTGTTAAAAAATGAATACACTGTTTAAGCAGACAAAGTAACACGGCACACAGTAATGTTTTGTTTATTTACTAATTTGAATTGAATTGTAATAAATTAGTAAATAAACAAAACATTACTCACCTCACATCTCTCCCAACCATTAAATAATAGTGTACCGAATATTTTTTTTTTTTTTTTAAATACCCACACAGCCAGACACAAATTTTTAAAAACAGATACATGGATTACACTCTTCTCACCCAGGGGCCGATCAGGGCATTTTCATAAACGATAAAAGGCCTCGGACAGATAGGTATGCATACATTAAGGAAAGACATAAGGAATTAACAAAGGTGGTTATATTTGTATATTCGTTGTTCTGACGAAAGACAGCAGACAATCGTAAATTTCTTTTTTATCTAAAGCAAGAAGATGCAGTATATTAAATGGGTTTTCAATGTTTAATTTTAGAAGTTTACTGAAAAGCTCATTAGATTGAGCCCTATATTTTAAACAATCAAAAAAGATGTGGTCAAGATCACCGATTTTATTGCAGGCGTAGCAACGATCACTCTAAAGTATTTTTATTTTAAATAAATGTGCTGGATAACATTCGTGACCAAACTTCATTCTGCTGATAGTAGTTATACTTTTTCGACTGTAATCGTACTCATTGTACCAAGGTTTTCTCCTTAATTTGGTTTCAAGTCTGGTGTAACGTGTTGGATTTGTGAAGCTGTACTCTTGCCATAAATAGGACCATTTTTTCATCATTCTCTGTTTTGCTATGATTATTTGTTCGTCTGTAGTTAATTCGTAATTTATTTGTTCCCCCATTACTATGCTCTCTTTGGCAATTTGATCTGCAATTTCATTGTTTATTATTCCTGCGTGTGCTTTGACCCAGAAGAATTTTATATATTTATTCTGATCTTGTAATTGTTTAAGTATTGCTTGGATGCTAAAAATAATATCATTAGTTGTGTTTGAGTTTGATTTTAAAATTTTAAGAACGGAAAGTGAATCGGAAAAGATTATAGCATTCTGATCCTCTTCCTGATAAACATATTCTAGTGCTTTTAGAATTGCTATTGCCTCAGCTGTGAAAATAGATGTGTTTTTGTGTAACTTGTATTTTTTCTGTATACGTTTAGGTATTACGAAGACGCAACCTGTACCATCGGTATTTTTTGATCCATCAGTGTATATAGTGACGTAATTTGGATGTTCCTCTAAGATTTGATTTATGACTATAGTATTAAGTGATGCTAACTCCGAATAAAGTGGTATATTCACATCACAGGAAACAAAGTGATCAAAGTAGTCGGTCTCTAACTTTGTTTGTGGTTTTAAGGCCACGTTTCTTAATCCATCACAAATGGGAGGAGAGTGTTTATGAATCCAATAAGGCTTAGTTAGGTCGTATTCATTTAGTTTATACATGCTGCTCATGAATGGTGAGTTTTTCTTTAGCGACTTAATAATCATTTTTTCAGCTAAAAAAGGTCTTCTCAGTTCTAATGGAGGTTCGATTGCTTCAGCTCTTAACGGTTCAACTGGTGTAGATTTCATTGCTCCCAGACATATTCTGAGTGATTTGTTTTGTATAATATCCAGCTTACGTAGATTTGTTTTATTGGCTGTTCCATAGAGTGTACAGCCATAATCAATTATTGATCTTATATAAGCTTTATAGAAAAGTAGAGCTGTTTGAGGTTCTGCACCCCACCAAGTTCGCATAATGGATTTTAAAAAGTTTAACCCTTTATTGCATTTTGTCTCATGTGATTCTCAAGTATTTGACATTGGTATCCACCGGAAATTCTATACCATCTATTGTAATTTTCTGCATCGGTTTTATGTTATGCCTGGTGAAGATTATAACTTTGGATTTTTCTGCGGAGATTTGAAGCCCTAAATCACTTATGGAGCTTAAAACGAGTTTCGTGCTTAAATTCAAATGATGAATGCATTCGTCGAGATGTTTGCTACGTGTATAAACAACAAAATCATCGGCATATTGTATAATAGTTGCTTTAGGTATAGAGGTGTGTAAATTAGTAGTATATATATATTAAAAAGTAATGGTGCAAGGACTGATCCTTGTGGCAGACCTAAATTTGCAGTTTGGTATTTTACTGGGCACCTATAATGTCCTCTGAGCCCTACTTGTCTGTTTATATATAATTTGCATATCGTGTTGGCAATTTCTTGAGGGATTTGTAATTGTATCATTTTCTCCCGTAAGATGAACCAGTTGACATTGTCGTAGGCACCTTTCACATCTAGAAACATCGTTCCATTATACTCGTTTTCAGTTAAGCCTATTTGTATGTCTGTAACTAAGTGTGTCACCGCATCTATGGTGCCAAAACCTTTTCAAAACCATATTGTGTAGTTGGCAGAGCGCCGACCGAATATCTTCGTATTTTGATTCTATTCTTTCTTTTAATAGTCGACCGTACAACCTCCCCACTGAGCTGATAACAGTTATTCCCCTATATTTAGAGCATTTACGTTTATCCCCTTTCTTAAATATTGAGCTGATGTATCCAATATTCCACTCGTCAGGGATATTTTGTCCTGTTAAGCATTTGTTAAATTGTTGAACCAATATCTTATGTAATATTTTTGGTCCGTACTTTACCAACTCAATTGGAATGTCTCCAGGTCCTGCTGCTTTACCGTTTTTCGATCTTTTGAGGGCATCGTTTAACTCTTCGGTTGTTATCTTAATTATTTGTGTGTGTTCGGATGTTTCTTTTATTTCGATCTTTTGGAATTTACATCTAACCTGTGTCAGTAAAACCTCATAATGGTGTTTCAGATCTCTTAACTGTAAGTTAGATTTTTCCTTTCCTTCTCTTCGGAGAGACTTTATCACCTTCCAAGCTTGCCCAAATCTTGTTACACCCATATACCTATCCACCTCTACACATTTTCGATCCCACATCTCATTTATATTTTTCACTACTTCCCTTTTTACATCTCGATGTAATTTTTGATATATCTTGTAATCTCCCTCCTTTCTCGTTGACATGATACGCAGTTTTCTTCTTGTTGACTAACGTTTGCATATTCTCCGACCACCATTCTTGATTTGTTTCATGTTTGTCTTTATAACCCAAAGCTTCACTTGCAGCTTCATGAATGCATTTTTTAAGTTGCTGGTTTAAGTCTTTCGCTGATACATTTGCTCGATCCACATTTTGTAGTTTTGTGGCCAGTCGTAATTTGTAAAGACATTTCGTTGAATCTTCTTTTAAGCTTTCTATAGTGTATTTTTATGTATGAGAGAGTAATAAAACAATAAATTATGTATGCAAATCCCTAAACTGTTGATACGGGTGACTCAATGAAAAACAGATATTTGTCAACAAGTTTACAGAAGTATATAGGAAAACAATTTTAAATTGAGTATGACCACCAGGTATAAAGGTTGGAGCAGAATAGAATATAATAGTTATGAGGGTTACTAATCCCTAAATAAAGTTGCCAGTGTCGGAGTGATGGAGGTTAACAGGTACTAATGAATTTGCAAGAAATGTAAGATGTTTATGTTATTGGTTATATATAACCAATAAAAGTTTAATAAGTACCTACCTATTTGCAAAATAAAGTTTAATTCTTTAGATAAAATAAAACGTTTTATTTTATCTGAAATGAGTGCATTCCACGAAGTAAGGGTTTCAACAATCAAACATTTAATTCTTTAATTCCAGGAATCTACGACAGTACTTGACTAGATAATTACCTTCTAAACTTATTCCACAGAAAATGTGATAGTGGGTTTTTCCATTTTGTAGGAAGGTATTCAAAATTCTTAACAGTTCACTAAAAGTAGGTACTTCAGTTGCAAGGTGCAGTTTATTGTGTATACTAGTGTTATGGAAAATTTGGAAGTGCCGTGTAAACGCCGAAAAATTGGTCCTTTAACAGTTAATGAAAAAACATTAATATTTAATTGTTTTAAATCATTTACAGACAAACGCTTATGTGAAAGTGTTGATGAGACCGTTGAGTTAGTTAGCAGTACACTTGGTGTTGGGAAATCTACGATTTACAGAGTTATTAAAGAAGAGAAATGTACGTTACGGAAACTTTTAAAAGAAATAGGCTTCCGCTGGAAAAAGAATCCCAGAAAGTCTATTTTATTAGAAAGAAGCGATATTGTCATATGGAGAAGACATTTTCTAAGAACCATAAAGGAAATGAGAAACCAAAAAGAAAAATATTTTATCTTGATGAAACATGGATCAACGAGGGTAATACACCAAATAAATTTTGGCAGGATTAAACTGTTACAAGTCAAAGGCACGCTTTTGTAAATAACTTATCTACTGGTTTAAACCCACCATCAGGAAAGGGACGCAGGCTGATATAAGTACACATTGGCAGTTCAGACGGTTTTGTTGAAGGTGGTTTATTAACTTTTGAATCAACTCGTACCGGTGACTACCATGAAGACATGAACGCTGATGTCTTTCAAGAATGGTTCGAACAAATGATAGATCTTCTTCCTAAGAACTATGTAATAGTAATGGATAATGCAAGTTATCACTCCAGACTTATAGAAGGACTGCCCACAACCAA